CTGAGGTTGTCGATTTTTTCCTCCATCCGGTTTATGCACTCTAGGACCCTTATTCTGAATTCTTTTTCTGTCATGTTGCATGCCTCTGTATTACTTAGCTGCTTTTCTGGAGAGTCCTCCTTCTCTTTCCTTTGGGGGTTTCTTTGTCTACCCATGTTTGATCTCACTGACATATCTAGACGTTGAGTCGTTCAGTGGCTGCTCCCTTGGTGGCAGTGACTCCTTGGTCTGCGGTTCCTCTTCGGGCGGTTGCGGTAGCAGCTGCTCTTCAGTTGGCAGCAACTCCTCTGGTGGGTGCTGTTCACAGCTGTGGTGGCTCTTCTGGCTGGTGGGGCGAGGTTTCACGTACAGCTGCTGTTCCTCAGCAGAGGATGTGGTGCTCAGGAGGTTGCTGTTGCTTGGATCTGCTGTGTTGATTTAAAGGCACAAAATACAACACAACAAGGCACCACGTACCAGGCACTATACACAAATATATTCACGATATTAATAACCCCAAATAAAGGTGACCACCTGAATTAAGAGAATTAGGGGATAAGGAAGAAGGAAGAGAAAAAGAGAAAAGAGAAAAAAGAAAAGAAAATTAGGGACCAAAAAAAGGAGTGCAAAAATGAAAGTGGGAAAAAGGAGGGGGGAAAGTAAAAGCGAGAAAAGAAAGGAAAAGAAAAAAAAAGAGCGAAAAGAGAGAATGAAGTGGAAGAGGGGAAGAGACTTTTTATATGAGGAGAATGCTCCTATAGAACAGCCATTAATCCCAACAAATTCCAGCAACAGCTCCCTGGATATAAATGCAAACTAGAAACAACCAATAATATAACGATGAAAATAGAATCGAGAACACTAATCCCAAAATAAAATAAAGAGAAAATAAAATGGCACTTTAAAAAAAATGGTAAAATGGTAGCAGTAATAATACTGGTTAAAAATAAGAAGGTAGTAATTAAAAGGGTAAAATCAGGTGATGGAAAAAAGAAGAAAAAGAAAAAAAAAAAAGAAGAAGAGGAAAAGAAGAAAAAAGAAAAGAAAAAAAAAAAAAAAAAAAAATTTGTTTATTAGTTAAAAGGTGAAAAAAGAAAGAAAAAAAAAAAATATTGCAGTAGTGAAGGTCCTTCGGTTCTTCTATTCTTCAGTGTGGCTCGCCTTAGACCTGCCCGGTATTCAGGAGAGTGTTGAGTTTCCCTGCGATACACTGTTCCTCTGTGTTGTAAACCACAGTCCTTATTTTAAAGCAAGCTGCATTTGTTTCCCAGACTGCCTTATTTTGTGTTTAGCAAAGAGTCAGTTTGTGGGTCAGCCTCTGGGTGGCAGTGTTCTGGGGTTGGCCTCTGAGGCTACAGGGCCTCTCTGTCCAGTGGAAGTTCACTGCCCAGAGCTGGCTGCGTAAGAGTTACCAGTGCTGTGTTGTTGCTGGGATTGAAAATCCCTCTATAGGCCAGACCCTGTTAACTCCCAGGGACTGATCAGGTTATTTTAATCCTTGATCTCCTACAGGGTGGAATCTGGGTGTGGCTGTGCTCCTTGCCTGGGGGCTGGGGGGAGGAGTCTCACTCTCCGGAGAGAATGGCTGCCTCAGACGTGGGCTCAGGGGTGTCTCAGCACTCAATTCGCTGCCACCTCTCCCGGCCCCCCTTCTCTCCTCAGTCTCTCCCCAGATTCCACTCCTCCGCACACTCTCCCTCTCTTCAGCACAGGTGAGTGTCTGTATCCGAAATGTCCCATGAACAGGGTTCAGTGAAAACAAACAAACAAACGCCGGCCGCGGAAACGGGGAAGGCTTGGTTTCTGTAAGCTTCTTCTCTTACCGGGACTGCATGGTCTGATCAGCTCTTCAGGCTGCCCCCTTTAGGCTCAGTCCTCTGTGATCACAGACCGAGCTCTCAATTCCCCCGGCAGCGCCAGGAATCCCGCGGTTCTCCTTTCCCCCGTCAGGGGCTGTGCCTGTCCCAAGGGACGCGGCTGTCTGCCACGCGGTCTCCCTCCGACTCTCTCATCAATGTTTCTGACTCTCTATCCCTCTCCCTTCCTCTCTGTAAAAAATCAATTATATATATATATATATATATATATATATATATATATATATATTTAAAAAAAGCTTTCTTTGATTTGATACATGTGGTACACAGGGATGGAGGAAAGGGGAAATGGAGAGGGAGAAAAAATAAAAATGTATTTGAAATCATTTGTTTTGAAGTGACCTGCTTTCTCAACCCTAGCAGCATGGACCATGTGGATATTTTGGTTCTGTACTGGTGGCTTTTCAGGAGAATGTGCAGTAAATTGCTGGTTTGGAAAGGAGGTAGGATGTAAAGATCTCCCAAGAGGGTAGCCTCCCAACTTGGCATTTCACCTGGTGATATGCCAAAGGAAATCGAACTTAAGGGAGTTTGCCAGTCCCAGTTTGCACTTGATGTTCCAGCATAATTATCAACAGTGCCCTATTGGATTCTGAGTGTCCTGGTCTGGAGCAGTCACCCTGGTTTTAGGTCATGCAGAGTGGAGAATATTGGTGTGATGAATGGGAAGGAACACAACTCCAGAGCGAAGCAGACTCAACGGAGAATTATTGTCTGAGGGGAAATTCTGTTCAGGGTTTTCCTTAAAAGGCTTCTTGTAGTGCTTTCCGAAATGCCTTGCAGACTTTATTCTGACGCACTTTTCATCATCAGTTTATTTTTCTTTGGTGCCACTTTTATGGGGCCAATGTGCCACGGTGCGGCCTGAATTTGTTATAGACTCGTGGGCAGCAGTGGTGTGTGTGTGTGTGTGTGTGTGTGTGTGTGTGTGTGTGTGTGTGTGTGTGAATCAAGCCTAGACAGACTGGCTTGTGAATGGGGTGATAAGAATAGAGAAGCACATACCAGTAGACCAAACTTCCTGTGTACAAGCCGTAGAATGCTGCGTTTCACTCTCTGAAATAGCATTCATCTTCGGGCTGGGATCATTTATTCCTTCGGGAATTAAGCAAGAGCACTGGCAGCAAAAGAAACTATTTTGGGAAGGAGGTGTGGGAGGAATTTTGCTGTATTATAGGCCAGGCAGAAGTACCTTTTATGCTTTCGAAGGCCACATGTCCTGAGAGCCCTGGTAAATGGAAATTGACAATTTCCAAAAAATCCCAACTGTAATGTCCAGGGTCATTTATGCACTCTATAATCTCTCTAGATCATAGATGCTTCAACTTAATTTACCTAAAGGGTAGAAAGAACACTTTTCTTTGGAGATTAGCCTCTAAAGTAGATGCTATTGAGATGAGTAAAATGTAATCTCTCAGTCCTGCCCCCTTCCTCACACATCCCCTTGCAGGTTCTTTTTTGCATATTCCGGATGGTTGGAGAGGTTTAAAATAAGGCAATGAATGCTGAGTCCACCCCCTCCCAACCCTCCCCATAGAGCTGAGATGGGTAGGGCTTGGCAGCTGGTGGCAGCTGTGGAGATAAATAAGGACTGGGCTCCTAGATGGACAGGGTGCAGCGCTCCCGGGATGCGGGTGTGTGGCTCTGAGTGCCTGCAGTGGGAAGAGGCCATGAGGACGGAGCTGCAGCTGGAGTCCAGAAGTTCAGGCAGTGAAAGGGAGGTGGGGGCTTATAGCAACCAGTTTAATAGTCCTTTTGATCAAGCTATTGCATTTGGGGGGTTGGGGGCATGTTTAGAAGCCAGATAAAAGTCAGATACAACTCAAATGACTTCTATTTTGTCATTTAATGAATGTATTTGATGGAAACCAGGGAATTATGTTGCTCTGTACCTACTTGACTTTTCTACTTGACACTCCTTTGACTAATAAAAAGCAAACTGCCTTCGGGATTTTGTCCTTATAGATTTGCTGCAATTAGAAATTGAAAATAGCAGCCCAGTGCTATTTAAAAGTTTTCTATTTTGTAACTGACGACCGGTTTGGAAAATGCTTTTCTCTAGAAGGCTTTGAATTCTCTTTTCAGTGTGGTAGATTTAATCACAACAGATGTTTTTTGTTACTTTATTTTTTTTCTTTCCCCTTAGACATTAAAATTAAGGTGAAGATGTTGAGATTCCCCAATCCAAACAGTGCTGTCTAGGCTTATGATAAGCATTTTGTAAATTATACCCTGTTGTTCACGAATATTTAGTAAATTTATTTAAAGTCAAGAATCATATCCTATCTACTTGTTTTGCATGGGGAATGAGGGGGTTTCAGTTAGTGGTACCATTATAGACATCAATGGCCTATATATTGCTTTTTAAAAACAAATGAACAGTCATCTTATTTTTCAGTTAAATGAATCAAGGATTTAATGATCTCAGAATCTGAACTACATTGTTGTCTTTCTGTCTGGACACGACATCAAATAGTTTTCATTTTCATGCAACATTCCCACCTTTTTATCATTTCAATTACTCATGTGAGAAATTGGTGGAAAATACCTTCACATGGTGATGAAACATAAAAAGGAGCTGAAATTTTTGAATCATTTCAAGAAATAAAATGATGACCTAGATATGCCTATTAAATTTTAAAAAATCTTATATTTTTTTTGTGTGTGTCTAACAGTAGAATGATATTTCTATAGGAACTTAGAAAATATATTTTAAGGACAAATACTAAATCTATAGTGATGAAAGAGCTAGATATTGTTGAAGGCAGATAGGTACAGGGAGTGAGGCGGGTGGTGAAGATTTTTTAAAACAGAGATTTAAAAACCCTTTCAAGTGTTTGGAAAATTGTTAAATCAAGAAAAGGCTTACTGTTTGCTTCTATGGGCTAGGACCAGCACTGGTATGTACAGGTAAAGGGGACAGCACAGAATATAGGTTGGGAGGAATATCAGACATTGTTAACCTTGGTGTCATCTGGATCCTTGTATGTGTCCATCAGAGAAGATGGAAATCATCCCCAGCCAAGTGTCTGTGGGTTCGTGTGTGGGACAAAATCACCAGTGGTCCAGCCTCTTCATTCTTTCTATTTGTTGTTGTCTCCATTCTCACAGACTCACTGACCTTCTCCTCCCCTCGTGTTTTAGGAGAGACAGCGTCTGGAGACCATCCTCAGCCTCTGTGCTGAATACACGAAGCCTGACAGTCGCTTGTCCCTTGGCACCACCGTGGCAGATGTGCAGAAAATCAATAAGGAGCTTGAGAAACTGCAGATCTCTGATGAGGAATCTGTGTTTGAAGAAGCCCTGGTGAACCCCGATGTCAGATACAGGTGCCACCAGAAAGGCGCTGGCCACGAGGCGGACGTGGCAGTCTTCGGGAGCCTGAGTCAGAGCAGTGCCAGCTTCCTTTCCCCCAGGAGCGCCATGAACGAGGAACTGCTCAGGGACCTCGCCAGGACTCCCCCACCACCCCCCTCTGCCTTTCTGAAAGCTTCCAACGAGTCCTCTTACCTAAGTATCCTGCCAAAGGTAAAGGAGACAGAGCAGAGAGACTTGGATTGCGGGCCCAGGACTGGGCATCTGCATTGGCGTAGAGACTAGAGGCTTTATCATGCTTGTTTGCCAAATGTGTTCAGTGAAGCTTCAGTTTAAGAGGTCTTAGCAAGGTGTAGCAAATTAGTGTTTATTATAAAGCAGTAAGCTTGCACTGTAAAAAATATAGCAGCTCAGAAAAGTAGAAAAAAGGTCTCTCTCCATTCTGTCCCTTCTGAGTTGTACACCTGAGAGATAAACACAAAGTGTTTTACATGCTTTCCTAATATTTCTGTGCATCCATGGCCATATATATAGGCATAGACATATACATAGTGTTCTGCATTTATCCCCTCCCTAAATGTCTTGAGCATCTTTGCATATTAGTATACACAGCTTTACCTCATTCATTTCAATGGCTGACTAATGTTCTATGTTTGGGAATACTATTTAAGTTGTTTCCAATTTTTGACTAGTAAAATCTACATGCAGCAAATTTTGTAGGATATATATATTGTGCAAATACTATCTCTGAGATCGCTTACTAAAAGTGGAACACTAGGTAAACGAGTTTGTATATTTTTTATTTTAATCAATATTTCCAAATTGTGCTCTCAAAAGAGTTACACTTTCCACAGTTTATTTTATGAGAACACCTCGTTCTCCATACACTTCGTAAGGCTGTTTATTATCAGAATTTCTTAATTTGCTAAGCTAATAGGTGTAATTATCTTGTCTTTAATATGCATGAAAGTGGGCATATTTTTACTGTTTTAGTTGCTAATTTGTATTTAAATACATTTATTTATGTTCCTCACCCAATTTTTGGAAAATTGCTTGTTTTTACTGAGTAATAACTATTTTGGTAATGAAATTAGCCTTTTATCATGAATGGTGACTTTGACTTTTGGCTTTTTTGTGAAAGTTTTTGGACATATAAAAGTTTAAGATTTGTATTTCATCATAGTTATTATTAAGTTTGCTGGTCGTTTGCTGATTTTAAAATGTCTTTCAAATTTGAGGATTTTTAAAATGGAGTTCAAGGAAAAATTTTTGCTGCTATTTTTTCACACAGGTTAAGAATTATTTTTCTATAAAATTTTAAAAAATGCTCCTACCTGTTCTCTAGAAAGGATTTAAGAGCACTTTATAATAAAATATATTAGAAGATAAGTATTTTATGACAATAAAATTAGAACACCAAGATAGTAAAAAACAGGAAAAAGAGTCTGGGAAAGCAAGTACCATAATCAAAAGAATTTATTTATTTAAGAATAAATAGGACTAGTTAATTTATTTATTTAAGTAGCTCTGACCACTTAGACTCTGAGATTCTTGGCAGTCATGGCCAAAGAATCCTACATAATAAAACCCTAATATGCAAATAGATCGAATGGTGGAAGTACCGGCGAACAACCCGTCGCTATGACGCACACTGGCCACCAGGGGGCAGATGCTAAACGCAGGAGTTGCCCCCTGGTGGTCAGTATGCTCCCTCAGGAGGAGCACCGCTCAGCCAGAAGCCGAACTCACAGCTGGCAAGCACAGTAGCAGTGGCAGGAGCCTCTCCCACCTCCACTGCAGGCAGGAGGTAAGGAGCGAGGGGTCCTGGACTGCCAGAGCCCTGGACTACAAGAGGAATGTCTGACTGCCTGCTTAGCAGACATCCCTCAAGGGGTCCCGGACTGCAAGAGGGTGTAGGCCGGGCTGAGGACCCCTCACTCCACCCTCCAGTGCACGAATTTCGTGCACCGGGCCTCTGGTCTATATAATAAAAGGCTAATATGCAAATAGACTGAATGGCAGAATGACTGGTTGTTATGATGCACACTGACCACCAGGGGGCAGACGCTCAATGTAGGATGCCTTTGGTGGTCAGTGTGCTCCCACAGAGGGAGTGCTGCTCAGCCAGAAGCCCAGAAGCCGGGCTCATGCTGGCATCCGCAGAAGTGCTAAAGATGTCCAACTGACGGCTTAGGCCCAGTTGGACAAACCCCTAAGGGCTCCTGGACTGTGAGAGGGCATAGGCCAGCCTGAGGGACGCCCCCCTCCTCAAGTGCACAAATTTCGTGCACCAGGCCTCTAGTCAAATATAAAAAATATACGTTAGTTATTGTTGTTGTTGTTGTTATAAGAGAAGGACACTTACTGATTCTTTACAAGAAATATGTCATCATGGTACTAAATTCTGGAGGTAATTTATTACACTGAGTACTATTCAGGAGAGTTTATTCATCTGTTTTTATTTTTGTTTGTTTGGCTGCAACAAGATTTTTCTTGTTAAAAAAGTTGAGTGCTCTTGGTCAGAAGTCACCTACCTTGAGTTCTCCCATTGTATACATCATGACCATCAAGACTCTAGACTGTCCAATCCCTTCTTCCTTCTAATGACCACATCTACTTTTCTAATTCTCTGTGGAGAGGAACTTCAAATAGGACATCTGTCTGTATTGCCAGAAAGATGCAACTGTTAAAAAAAAACTAGGATCTGGAAGGAAACTCAAGAGTTGTCTTTCAGGCACAGTGAATGATCCATCATTTGGTAGTTTGACCGGTTGTCACGTTGTGTTTTCTCAGAAATCCTTTGCTACCTTTTTATCCTAAGTCCTTTCACATGTCTTCTCTTATGGAGATCTGCTAGATTTTGTTCTGATGCTAAGCTGTGAGCTCTCCCTAAGGATCATCCTTTTGGAGACAGGTTTCCTCCTGAAGAGGACTGACGAGAAAGCTGTTGGTACGTAAGTGAGCAGAGCAGGACAGATGTTTTCCATTGCTCAAATGTGCTTTGTGGACTAGGAGGCCTCTGGGCTTGGAGCAGCATCCGACTGTGCCTCCTGGGAGACAGGAAACGTCGGGGGCTCCTGTGGTTTGCACACAGCAGCTTGGTAGTCAGTGCCAGTGAGAGGGCGACGGGTTCCCGAGAATGCATTTTTCACTTATTACTTTTTGAAGACAGACATATGTTACCTCAAGACAGGAGATAGAATCTTATTAAAAAGTTCTGGCCATTTGTTTTTGGTGCCCTTCCTCTTGGAGTAATCTGCTCACTGAATTATTTTAAAAGTACAGTGTTTGTTATTAATCAATCTAAGGATTAGTGTAGAGAGGAATGTGAAAAAAACTCTAAGCCGATTTAATAAAACAAAGATTTTTTTTTTTTATATATATAATTCAACCTTTATTTTAAAAAATAAAATCAATTCCCTAGCTGGTTTGGCTCAGTGGATAGAGCATCAGCCTGTGGACTCAATGGTCCTGGGTTCAATTCCGGTCAAAGGCACAAACCTGGGTTGGGGGCTTGACCTCCAGTAGGGGGCATGCAGGAGGCAGCCAGTCAATGATTCTCTTCATTGATGAAAAACAAAGATTTTAATGATATTTAGGCACCTGGAGATAACCATTTTGGAACTTGCTTTACCAAACACTTAAAGGTACAGATAACTTTGGAAATAAGCTAATTTTAATGAATTTTTGTCAACCTGTCTGCCACCACCTGAGGTGAAAGTTAAGAGTACCTTACTCTTCTCCTTTGGCTGCCATTTTATTGAGATATAATTGACATACCACGGCATATAAGTTTAAGGTATACAGTATAATGGCTTGACTAACATATATTGCAAAACAATTCCCACAATAAATTTTGTTAACATTTATCACCTCATATAGTTACCAAAAAATGTTTTCTTCTTTGTGATGAGTACTTTTCACTCTTCTCCTTTTGAGTAATCACTTTGTCTACAGTGGAAAACCCTCACACTTGCATCCTTGTCTGGTTGCAAGATGTTTCTAAGAAGAGATCTACAAAAAAAGGCAGATGCAAAGTTCCTATCCTCTCTCCCCTTTCCCTGTGTCTATCTGTTACTGCAGAGATGGCATACTTGGGGATGCACATACATGTGCAATGGGCTTATTAAATAATGTCACTCCCAGTGGAATCCTATCCATTACAATAAAAATATCCCAGAGAGATTAAAATTAAAGCTTTCTCTTTCCCTATAAAGCTAAAGATATTTAGTGGCCACCACACCCATGGCTCTCTATTGGTTTTCTTTATTTTGATATAAATGAGGTCTACATCCACACCCCATTCTATCACAAACCAGAGTTTTAGAATTCCTTTTAAAGATTTTGCTTTTTATAAATAAACACACAGTAATTTTCTAGATGGTATGTATTGCTATAAACTGCCTCTCCAGTTATTATTAAATATACCTATTGTGAAACTTTGAGTTATACAGATTCTTATAATTGCCACTATTACCTGTCTTTATGGTTTTGAAGATTGTTCGGTTTTTGTTTTCTCTTAATGCTTTGCTTCCACCAGTGGGAGAGATATTTTTAAACCATGTTGGAAGTTGAAATCTAATATGAAATGTTGACCCAACAGGATGCCGGCCTTCTTGAGGCTTTCCTGCTAGGATTACATGTCAGTGATTTCGGAATGCCATGCACTGTTACAGGAATTCCTCAGGCCCTACCACAAGCACCTAAGTACTAGGACAATGTGATTCATTGTCTGCGGTAAAAAGGTCACAGTTGTTTTATTAGTCAGTAAGATACAGATTTCAGGTGGCAATTAGAAAGCTAAATGTCACAGCTTGGAAAGGCTGCATCCTTGTTCTGGTCAACCTGAGATACTTGTCACTTCTCAATCATTTAGTCTCCTTAAGGAGCAAGCAGCAAGTGGGGTACAGAGTAAAGAATATTAACAACAGAACACAATATGATGCCTGTCTTCTTAAAGTTATTTTCAGGATTTTTAAATAAATTAAATGAACTTAATGAGATACAATAAATTTTAATAGTTTTTCATTTGAATATTTCTTTTAATGATTAGTGAATAATCGTAAATAATTTACTTATTTGACCTGCTTTTAATTTCTAATTGTGAAATTATAGAACCATTGACTTACTGATGAAAAAAATTACACCTTTTTTAAAGAGTAATGAAACTTAAATATACCAGCATTCCTTGACATACAGTAAGACTGGTCTCTACTTGGTGATACACAAGATAATTAACCTGAATTCTTGAAATTTGCTATTTGCAATTCACTATATTTTTTTTCTTAAAATAACAAGCAGTGATATTTTGGCTGTGTGTATGATCAACATTCCCTTTTCCCTGGGCATTTATATATATAAAAGCCTAATATGCAAAGTGTCCCCTCAGGAGTTCAGCTAGAGTTGAGGAGTTTCATTGCTCACTATGACATTCACTGACCACTAAAGGGAGGCACAGAATGAAAGAAGGCCCCAGCTGGCAGCTAAAAGGAAGGCCCCCGATTGGCCCTGATCACCGGCCAGTTTTAGGGACCCTACCCATGCACGAATGTCATGCACTGGGCCTCTAGTTTGGCATAACTATTCAGGGGAGTAAGTATGCCTTCTCTCACTTAATTTCTTTCTTGACCTTCTCGTTTCTTGCTTAGGAACTCATTTTTTTATGACATAATTTTATGAATGATGGCCAGGGCCTTGTTTCATTTCACTAAAGGCTATTTTCCAGATAGTGTCTTAAACATTATATAGAAAGAAGATCCTATAAGATGTAAGTAGTGTACTAACACAAAAAGCAAAATGTGAATTAACTTAATAGTAGGTGTCTCATTTTAAATCACTAGGGGAGGGGATCATAGAAGTAATTAAGCCTGTTTTGTTCTGATAATTAACTTTGTGGGGCATTTAGTGAGATTGGGCCACATGGGATGTGCCCTTGCTTTTTTCCACCTTGTGTTGGAAAGAAAGAAATAAGCATGAAAGCTCACTTGCAGATGACCCTAGCAGTAGGACCCAATAGTATAGTAGAGATTCCAGAGACAGTTGTATATGTTTTCACTTGGAGATGGGAGAGATATGGAGCTTGTAATGAAAGGCAGCAGCATGCCCAAGAGATCCCTGAGGAAGAGGTCAAAGTCTTGCCTAGGTTCTAGGTCTCTGCCTTGTAAAGAAGTAACTACAATCTCTGTGGACCACAGTTTCCTCATCTGTATAACCTTAGTTATTTCATTTTAAAAATATATGAATTTATAAATTCTGTGAGCTAGTCTAAGAGCCCAACTGCTGAGATTCTGTGGGGAAATGCAGAGTTCCTACTAAACTATCAAAAGGCTGCTGTTGAATCCAGATAGGACTGGAGGCGGAAACATTAGACCTGGAGCTGGTTCATGAACTGGGAAATTCTGGAATTCAAGTGTGAACATCTCTTTTCTGTGTCGATTGATTGCAGACCCCAGAGGGCATAAGTGAGGAACAAAGGATTCAGGAGCTGGCTGCAATGGAGGAGACCCGGATAACAATTCTGAACAACCTCGAGGAACTTGAACAAAAAATCAAAGATATAAATGACCAAATGGATGAATCTTCCAGAGAGGTATAAGCCATGAGTTAATTTTTTACTCTCTTCCTGCTTTTCTTTCTTTTGTTTTTAGCTTTAAAATATTGTTGCCCATTAGGACACAGACATTGGAATACAGAGAAGTCAACATGAGCAAACATTTGTTCAGTGGGTATATATGCAGGATAAAAATGCCTTTTTTGTTTTACATTTCTCTTTTCCTTCTTTTTTTAATAAACAGAGGTAAACATATTCAGCCATTTTTCATTTACTTTATGTATAACTGAATTTATCTTAATTAGTACAGCAGGTTCTCAAATAACTTATTTTGTTCAACTTTGTTACGTTCTAACGTTAATGAGATACTGTAGGAACTTAACTCTTGTTTATATCAACTGGCCTATAGTAAAATTCGGTTTCATTATACATCGTTTTACCACAACTACAAGAACCTTTCAATGATGTTAAGTGAGAACTTACTGTATATGCTTTTTAACTTGCTACAAGACTGTGACTCAAGGTACCATGAATTTAGGTGTTCAAGTTCAAACCCAATAAATATTTTTGGTGCATGCTTACTGTGAGATGGGTATCATGTTGATACTCTAGCAGGGATTTACATGTGAATTGAACATGGACTTAGCTTCCTAGAGGTTTGCAGACCAAGGGGGAGATAGACACAGACAGACTGTAATTCTGGTTATAGAATTATAACTATAACTGAAGAGATGGAACATTTTTATATTACCTCCATGGAGTGAGAAGGAGCAAATAGTTCTGCCTAGGCAGGATCTGCATGTTTGCACTCACAGATGATGCAGACAGCCCCATAGTGGAAGGGGACTGCTCACCTGTCAGCTTGCGCACAAACCCTGGAAGCCCCTCCTGCTGGCATTGCTAAGGAATGCAGTGCAGGCATGCTGGCTGAGTGCAATTTTTGCTTCCCCTCTAGGGACAAACAAAGAAAGGCATGGTCGCTCCCCAGATGGCTCATGGTGGAGCCAGAAACTAAGCAGATAGGCAAAATATCCAGAGAAATAAGCAGAAAGAGGGTCATCATAGAAAAATTACATAACTAGTTTTCTTATATTCTAGGAAGATAGAATATATTTCTATAGGACTCCTAAGCCTCTCATGGGCTCTCTGAAATAGTCTCTAGGCCCCACAATCTGGCTGATACAGTAGTTACTTCTTGGAATTTGTAGCTGTTAAAGATGAACCCCTAAAGTGGGCAGCTGAGAGTTCCCCTAAAGGTGAAACACCTCTGGGCTTTGTTTTGTGTCCGCAGTTGGATATGGAATGTGCTCTTTTGGAAGGGGAGCAGAAATCTGAAACAGCTGAACTGATGAAAGAGAAGGAGATTTTGGATCACATAAACCGGAAGATAGCAGAACTGGAAAAGAACATTGTTGGTGAAAAGACCAAGGTAAAAGAAAATGCTAATTTGAATGCAATTTTCATGGGAAAAAATGGTGGTCCCATTTGGTTGAATCTAAATGTTGTATGAATTACCATGGTTTTCCACCAGTCTTTCTCCTCTTCTGATTCTACTGTGTTTTTTAGAGAATTATTTTAGTATACTGACCTTCTTTACCACTGGTGCCCTATAGAAATGGCTTAAGCATATTCAAATATGATTGCCTCATTTCTTTTCATTTTTCTGTTTATTAAAAAGATGAATGGGAGCCATTCATCTCCCCTGTCTTGCCTTGCCATGCTCTTCAATGCAAGTGCAGTGCTCCTTGAAAGACACATTGCAGTTTTCAGAAGATCCTCACACACTACCCAGGGAATCCTGTCTGTGAAACACCGTTGGCACTTATCCTGGAAAAGGTCTTGCTTATACTTTTGAGGCCACGACCTAAAAGTTTGCTTACATTTACTAGGGAAAGTATGAAAAGTTGTAGTTTTTAGAATCCCAGGTGGTAGCTGTGTTTTCTGTTTGTCTATTTATTTGTTTATTTTTCTCTGGGAAATAGTTTATTTACTCTCCTCTCACATTCTGAGTTAGTGACAGCTGACCTAAGCCTAAACTGAAAATTAAAATTCTAGTTTGAGAAAGAAAAAGCAGAACGAGCTTTAACATATTCTTTCTTGCTCTCCATGTTCTCCACTAAGTTGAGAAAAAGAAAAAATGTTCAGTTTGAGTAAGTTCTACTGGTGATATGTGGAAAGGATTTTCTGCTGAATGTGGCTTCCTTTTTATAGGTTCTTCTTTGTTCAAGACCTATAAATAAGGGCATTTGATCTTGGTGCCAGAAAATAAGCTCAAAAAGATATTGTCAGAAATTGAAGTCAGATTAAAAGCTACACATCAATATCTTGGTTTCCTGCTTGTCAAGATTAAACTGCACAGCTTTTTCGTATTAAATTTTATGTGTGTTTCGTCTAGCCCCAGACTTTGAAATAGTAAAGAACCCATTTGGGTAATAGGTATATTTTTCTTTCAAAGCTCAAAACCAAGTCAGAGGGTTGATTGTCTAGTTGTGCAGTATGAGAAGATAGTGCTTTTCAAAGATCCTGCACTGAGATAGCAAGAAACTTTCGTTGGAGGCATCAGATGCCTGTGTTTTGGGACTTACCACTACTTTATCATTTATGTCATTTCGGAAAACTTATGGGGCATAGGAATAGGTATCAAGTTCCTAGTGAACCTTTCTGCCTTCCCATCCCTGTAGTTACTTATCTTTGTATAGCCTATGCATGGCATGGCCTACAAATTCTATTTGTCATTAGCATCAGATTCTACACGAAAGTGAAGTAAGCTGAGTCAGTGCTGAATCTCGCTTCCACTGAAAGTTGTGTTATGTTCTGCAAACCTAAGGTAATGTGGAACTCCAGGAACATGAGCAGAAGCAAGCAAGGGGTGCCCTCCATCATTCCTATTATTGTTTTGGTGGCTTATAGAGGCTGTGCATACAAGTGGGAGCCTAAAGTATAGGATCAGCTCATGCAGCTGTTAAGGGATTAGTTGGTCTTAGAAGGTGGGATTATTATCTGTCATCACATGGTGTGAAAAATGGCAGAAACAAGCTTTGGGTGAGGGGTTCCAGAGGAGGTTGAGGGAAGTGAAAACCGACTGGGCTAGATGATGCTACTACATATTCTTGACAACCAAACTCAAATGGAGACCCTGTCTTGCTTGGTGGTATTACTGTGTTTCTCAAACAAACTTATTCCACCATTTTATAGTATGGCGATTTTGTACCTTTGGTTTGTTCAAACCTTTGGTCCCCTTTCCTCCCTCTGGCTTTGAGATGATCTAATTATCCACTGCACTAAGAAATGAGAAGCATCCCATCTCTTCCCAGCTAAGGAAGATTCTTTCTTCCCTTCAAAGACCAGAGCCTTTGTATATGCTATGGGCCTCATGCCATTCACCTCAACATCTTTCTCTTTACTGGGCCTTTACTGTCAGCATGCCAACATCAGTATTTTAAAAAGTTATTACTTAAAACTAAGCATTCTACTAGCTAATACCTCATTTCACTTTTCATCATAGGCAAACTTTTTCCATTGTTCTAGCACTCTGTGTGTCCTCTTCCCGCTTAACCATTCCTCATTCCAGTTGGCTGAGGCTCTCACTACTCCATCAGATTTGCTCCTGTTAAAACTACTGAAGACGTAAGTGCTGCCCAGCTCACGGGGTGCTTTTCAGTCCTCTTGTGGTTCGACTCCTGAGGAGCATTCAAGACAGGGGACAACTTTTTCTTGGCACTTCCCTTCTCTCCCACCCCTTTGCTTCCCATACCATGTTCTTCTGGTTTTCATTTTTATCTCTTACTCATCTTTCTGACTTTTCCATCTCAGTTTCCTTTGCTTGTTCCTCTGTCTCTATCTAACCAGGTGTTAAGAGTATTTGTCTCTGATCTGAACCCTTATTTTTGTATCCTCACATTATTTTATAGCCATGGCTTCCAAAACCTGTATGTGCTGGTTACTGTCTCATGTTTGTCTTTAGTCTACCATCCTTTTCTGAACTTCTGACTCATATCCTATGGCCCACCTGACATCTACACTCAGATATTGTCAACTGGACACCCTGTAACTGAACTCTTGATCTTATCCTTCCCCTTGCCTTCCACATCCTCTCCCTTTCCAATCCTATTCTTCCTCTGGTTTTCCCAGCCCAGGAAGTGGCATCTCTGTCCACCCCGATGTTTATACAGAAACCTGGGAGTAGATCTGACACTTCTTCTCCATCACTCCCACATCGTTGATTATGAACACATCTCTCAATTACTTCAACTTCTCTGCATCTCAACTAACAGTATTTTCTTCTGAGTCTTCAAAATATCTTCCTTGGTCCCATTCCCATTTGCTTTTCTTTAGCTCATTCTTTTCACAGCATCCAGAGTGACTCTTAAAAATATATATAAATTAGCTCATATCGCTCAGGTTTGTGTTCCGCTGCATTTTATATAAATCTGAATTCCTTACTTGGCATGTGCCTTTCTGTCACCACCCTCCCCTTCTTCACACCACTCTCACGGTGGTCTTCTTTCTATTTGTTTAAAGATCTATTCCCCTACCCACCCCCACAAAAGGTCCCTTGTGGATCAGTTTGCCCTGCCTGGATTCCCTTCCTCATATTCCATGTCTGTTGTTTACATCTTTCAGGGCTTAGGTTCAGTGTTAGTATTTCCAAAAAGCCCTTAAAGACCTCTCCAGTTCAGATTATGTTCTCCCTGTTGTTGTTTTAGTCCTTTTATGAATCACACATGATCATTTACATTCATTCTGGGCTTGTTAGATATTTATTTTCCTCTCTGGCCCGTGAAATAGAGGAAGGCAGTGTTTTAGACTGTTTGCTAAGCTTGTAGTGAGTGCCAGCATACCACCCAGTATTCTCTGAGAATTGTTCATGGATCTCCTGCTAAGGACGAGTCTAGGTTGGGCCTTTCCAGAAGCACTGAGCCAAACACCTGCCCAAGAGCAAAGCAGCCAAGTGTCAGGACAGCTGGGACAGGCGGCCCAACTGCACATGCCAATGGGCTTGTAATCACACTGCCAGTCGAACCGGAGCGTAAGACAGAAGGAGGAAGTGGCCTTTGCTCTTTTGAATTCTCATTTCCTTTTCCATACACCTGTTGCTGCTATCAGATATAAACTGTGGAATGAGTAAACCAAAACCTGAAAACATATCCCTGTTGGGCAAGCTCCGATTCAGATGTTGATAGCACATCCTGTAGGCCTGGCCCTAGGAAGAAGGTTTAGCAACACCTCAGAGTTCAAATCCCGCTGTGAAATTATTGACCCCGTCTCCTTGGCTCTCAAGACCAGTCTTTAGTATTATTTCTTTTAACTGATTTAGGAACTGTCATTTAATTTGATATATTTAGTATAAATTAATATAGATGATTATTATTTATTAAATGTTACCATATCAAATATAAACATAAATGTAACATAAAATGTAGACGATGTATTCAGTTATATACGTGTTGAACACCTGCTCAGCGGCTCTCTGGGCCAACCTTTCACTGCCCTTCTGGGTACCACTGTCAAGAGCATCAGTAAGCTTGTTTCCATGTCACTCTGAGCTAGTGCCACCTGCCTGCCGTGGTCTCAGACAGCGGTCCCATCACAGATGGAGTCTCTATGAGTCAGATAAACCCTGAGCAGATAGAAGTATCCGACTCACACATCAACTCAGAGGGGATGTTTAGTTGACGAAGCAGTAAGCAAAGAGGCCATCATGTTTGGGGGGGATGGGTGAAAGGAGAGAGGACTGTTCATCTCCGCTCTAGTAAACTGCTTTACTTTACTGGGCTTGGTGACCGAGAGTGGGGAGGCCACCAGACTGTGGGAGCTCAGTTTGGGCAAAAGCCATGTGCGGAGCCAGCTCCCTTCCTTCCACTGCCTTCAGCCAAGGCAAAGTCCCATTTGGGCAGCTGCTGAGAAGGTATGGACATATATGTTTGTTTAAGAAGATTTTTCTTCTGTGTTTTCTTAATGATCCTCACTCAGGTAGATTATGATATTCTGTAGCCATCCAGACCTGCACATTTTGTAGCCAAATAATCTTAAAGTTGTGAACTGAAACTTAAATCACTCTATGCCATACAACATGCTCCTGAGTGAAATCTTAAATTAACGGACTGATTTTTCTACAATAAGCATATATCACTGTATTTCAAATGGTTAAGTTTTATTGCCCATTATTATCTTGCCAAAGTACCTGTTACTTCCTCCCCATCCTTCCTGCAGAGCCAGGGGAAGACCATGAGCCAGGCCCCGAATTCCTTAGCGAAGTGTTAATGCCTCTTGAGTGCAGAGCATTGGCCAAATCGCAGTCCATGTTCAGAGGGACCCAGCGCTTCCCCTGCTTTTTTCTTACATTTCAAAGTTAGCTCCCTGGTTAGAGGATGTGGAAATATATCAAGGATTTGCGGATTAAATCAACAGGATTCCAGATTAGGGTAT